TTTTTTTTTTTATGAAAAGAATATCTTTTTTTCCTACTTCCTTCGCTAGTCATCCTGTAAGGAGTGTTACCCAAAATGATGCTTAAACGGGGGTGGTAGTAATCGGGGGAGTGATTTCCCAGAAGGGGACAAAATTTCGCAGGGGAGATTTTGGAACTGCTTCTGCGCGGTGCGTCAGGCTGGGTGAAACTGGCGAAGGTGAAATCGGTGTCCCATCTCCGGGATGGTTTCTTCCGGTTGGTTCATTCGGTTGGTTCATTCGGTTGGTTCATTCGGTTGGTTCATTTCGTTGCTTCATCTGCTTCTTTTCTTCCTCTCAATTTGTTCCGCTTGAGTTCCCCCGGTTCGGTTCTTCCTTTCGATGCCTCTTTTGCGCCTTTTTTTTTTAGTTCCCCAGATGGCTCCTCTTTTGTTTCCCTTCGGGTGGATCCCCCAACGCGCTTCCCTTCCCCGTGCAGCAATTTTTTTCCGACAGAGCAGGGAGGTGACATTAACTCCGCGGTGCACACAAATGACAGGAGGGGACTGTGCGAGGTGATTATCGGAGGAGATTACCCGTGGTGATTCTCCCAGATGGAACAAAGTAACGACGCGACAAGGCAATCTTTTTTACACACCCATAAACGGGCAAAATGGCTAGCAGAGAGAAGAAGAAAAAAAAAAAGAAACACTTAAGGCCGAGGGAATCAAATTAGTTGGGAGCAGGCCTCTTGGGCGGGAAAAATGGGAACATATCAGCCAGGCCACTGTGCCCCCGCGCGTGTGTGTGGTCTCGGCAGTTTCTTTTTTTTAACAGGGACGGGATAACCTACACCCCTCCCGCAATGTGTGCACCTCGTTACGGTCACGATGCGGGAAAGAGGAGAATCGTGAGTGGGCCAAGAGAAAGAGCCTCATGACGTGTGTGTGTATATGGGGGAACACTCCGACAGAAGGAATATGAGGAAGGGTACCTCACAAAGTTGTCACCAAAGGACGCAATGGATTTACGCCGACGCGGGAAAAGGCCATTTCCATCCCAGGCCATTCCTCTGCATGCAATGGTAAATAAAATACCAGTCCAAGTTGTGAGACTTTTTGCTCGCCGTCCCTCCAAACTGACTTCCTTCAGCGAGGAAGAGGGAAGATGCATGGCCTTTATGGGACGGAGAATTGTTATGCAAAGATTGAACTGCCCATTAGAGGAATCAGTCATAGTAGCAGTTTTTTTTTTTTTTTTTTTTTAATTCATCCCGCAAAGCGGGGGTGGCTCCAGAACGGTTTTCTCGTAATAACATTCGAGAGGGGAAGAAGAGAAAAATCCTCTTCAATGTTTGGCATCATCCCGAACGGGCGGAACAGCGGCGGGGACCGTGTGTGTGTGTCCAACTCCTCCTCTGTTGCTCCACCTCGATTAGCAAGCTAAACGGGCCAAACTGGCCAACCGGGCTATCCGGGCTAAACGTACGGCGCGGTCGGATTGACGACATAATAGTTTGTGGCGTTCTTCACGTGTCTCTTCTCCGGCGCGCTGTTCTCCAACTTGTTCACATAGAGAAACACCCCTATGCTGCTCACCAGTATGAACATAAAAAGGAAGATAACGGCCCCCCACATCAGGCGGTTGTAGTAAATCGTGGACGTTCCCATAGCGTTGTTATCGAATAGGTCTGCGGGGGGTGAGGAGAGTACACACATGGCCATGCATAAGTGAGCATACAAAGGTAAGGACGTACATGTGGGCAATTTCTTTTTTCACAATGCTTCGGCCGTGACAATCCAGCTTAGCTACCCCCAAGGGAGGGGGGTGCACTGCAGAAGGCCCAACCTCTGTACGCTATGGAGGGATTATAAATGTGTGCAGACTTCATCTGGAGGAAATTTCGATCCGGGTCGCTACTCAAAGTGGGTATCTTATGGTGTTTACGAAATTTATTCCTGTACTTGTCTGTCTTCCGCGGCTTGGTGGGGTTATCCTTTGCGCAGATTAGCCCCAGGAGGAGCAGAACGAGGAGGGCAATTCGGAAAGGCAGCTTCATCCTGGCGTGTGGGGAGGTCAAGTTCGTAGGGAAAAAAGGAGGCGAAAAGAAGAGGAAAATGAAGGTGGCGAAACGGAGTAGCGAAACGGAATGACAAAACGGAATGACAAAACGGAATGACAAAACGGAATGACAAAACGGAATGACAAAACGGAATGACAAAACGGAATGGCAAAACGAAGTGGCTAAACGGAATGGCCAAACACAGTGGCGAAAAGAACCCACTTGTATGCTGTTTCGCAGACACCACTGACACTACCTCAACGCCGCGTGGCCCCCCTCCCCGACATACACCCCTGAAATAATCCAGGAGCCCTCAGCCAACGACCCAAACAAGAGGCAACTTCCCTCATATGGGAAAAAACGGAGACAGGAAAAATATAGGGAGAATCGTCACTGTGTGCCACTGGCCGTATGGAGAAACGAAAGGTGGAATTTTTTTTTTCTTTTCTTACCATCTGTCCATATGAAAAAATGGGCATTCATTTGGGGCACCCGTGGTGCGCCTGCGTATGCATACGCGAGTTCTTCCGCAGCCATTCGGAGGTATCCCAACGTGGTCAATTCATGACCAGTTTAATGTCCCCATTAACGGGCATTCCAACGGAGCTAACCACGCGCATGCGCGGAGGACGCACAACAGTTTGCACGAAAAAAAAAAAAGAAAAAAAAAGGAAAAAAAAGGAAAAAAAAGAACAAGTCTGCCGCTCGGTAGGGGGCGCAAAGGTGAAAATGTTCACTTCGCACGGAAAGACGCGGGGGCAGTCCTCTGCAAAGTGGCATCCGTTGATAGTGGCGCTTCCGTTCGTGATGGCGCTCCCATTCGTGTGCACTTTCTTCCCATTCCGCCGCTTCCCTTCCCGCCGTTCAAAAAACGACCTTATCGTTAGGGTTTACCCAGTTCATAATTTTGACGTTTGCAGAGTTCGCCACGGGGATATCGACGTCGACACGCTTGGGTACGGGGTCGCGCCGGTCCGGCAATGGGAAGGCAGAGATAGACTCCACCTGAATGACTTGCCTGTTTATGACATCGAAGGTGTTTTTGTGTCCCTGAAATTGGTCGTCTTCATTCTGGACATTCTCAAAATCACCAATATCTTTGTAACCTAATTTTTTGGCATAAATCAATTCTTTAATTTTTAAGACGGCTTCCTTTTTGCTAATTCGTTTTGTCTTCTCATCACATAGCTGATTTTCTCGAAGGAATCGTTTCACACTTTCTTCCTTATAAATGGATTGGATACACCCTTGGGAGAGGAAGTACCTCTGACTGAGCTTTTTCACAGAAAATCGAAACGGATCCAAAGAATGAAGAAAGTAAATGTATTCCCTGAACAAAGGGTTCAATGTTTTATGTTCGGGTAATTTTATTGGGAAGGTTCGATGGAGGAATTTTTTGAATCCACTATCTTGCCAATATCTGTAGTTTTCCAATGTGTCTAGGGTTGGATTTCTGAACCCTACGAAATCGGAATAAGTGAGCTGGCTGCTGACATCTCGGCTGTACTCCTCTTTTATGTTCTGTGATGGGTCGTTGGGTTCATTTGGGGATCCTCCTGCTTTGCTTTGGTCTCCCTTCTTCTTCTCATTCACATCTGAAATGACTTTTACCTTTTTGCGCCGCGTCGGAATGATCACTCTATATCTGTACGGAACTGTGTAGGCGGGGTTATCGCTAACTGGGTGGATGCCATACGAACCTCTTCTTTCTTCTCCCTCGCTGTTCTTTACACTTTCGTTTTTCCAGCTTTGGGCCCACCTCGTGCAGCTGCTCTTCTCATTCGGTTGCACATATGATGGGTAATCCTCGTCCGCCTGTAAAGGGGGGTCTACCATGTTGTGCACATCATCTCCCATTTGGGCGATGCTGCTATCCGCAACACTTTCCCATTTGTCGAATGGGGGGGCCACGCCGCTCGGCCATCTTTTATTGCCGCGCAGCAGGAGTTTCCCGAGCGTCACAGCCATTGGACAACCGGTTAACCGTGACTACCCAAGCGGAACATCGGTGTGGTTGACTACGCGGTGATATGCGCCTATTCAGGCTGACACACCAAACTGCGGGATGGAACTGCCCTTCCCAATGGTTACATTTTTTTTTTCCTTAAAAAAGTGGATTACTCACGCAAGCACGTTGAAGATGCGATTGGCTAGCTCGCCTCACTTTAAAAAAAAAATTTAACTATTTGTGAAAAAAAAAAGAAGAAAAAACTAAAAGGGGGGGAGAGCGGCAACAGTGCGGACCGAGTGTATCTCCTCTGTTCTCCGTTGGGCCAAATGAACCTTCGTTCCCAATCCACAATGCGCATCGTGGTAAAGGTTCAGTTTGTCCCCCACGGAAGTTTCAGAGCGTGACAAAAGCGGGTAAAGCATGCGGAAGGGGCGACTCATCATTTTGGAAACGAAGGCGAATTTTTTTTTTCTCTCTCTACCCTTTTTTTACATCCCAAGCAGCGACATTTGCGGGACCAACGAGAGATATAGAACCCCATTGCGCAGGACATACAATCGATCCTCATCAGGTGGACCGCTACAAAACGAGTCTTTTTCCAGGTTAAAAAAAGGAAAAAGAAAAGAAAAGGTCTCTTTACGGGTGAATGCGTCAATGTGTGGCCAGCGTGGAAGGTAGGCATCACAGGGGATAAGCACAAATGGAGTGACCACACTGGTGAAGCGGAGGTGTGCACATCACACGCATATGTTGGGAGCAATCCACATTAGGGGGGAAAAAAGAAACGACGTAATAAATACATTTGGCAAGGCATTCGGTTTACCTTGATGTATAAAACTTCACCCTCCTACAGCGCGCCACCGTTATGCATTTCCACTGTGAGTGCCTCTCGGGGGACGTTTCCTACGAACTGTCGCCCCAGGCTGTCTCGGACACAGATATTTCGCTGGGAACATTCCTGTACTCAAAGGCCAGGGAGTAATTGGATTCACTGGAGGAGCGGTCCAATTCGCTTTCCTCGTTCGCCACCCGCTCATCAGCACTAGCGTCTCGACTACAACTGCTTCGAAGGCTGCCACTGCTGCGACTCCTGCTTCCACTCCTGATTTTCTGCTTCCTCTTGTTCTTGTTGTTCCTCCCCCCTTGGACTTCCTCACCACGGTTGGAGAGATCCACACTAGAAGAGTCACTCCCGACATCATCATCCCCCGTCGGCAGTAGCTCGTCACTTCCGAACGTGTCGCTCCCATCATCGCCACTGTCCAGTAGGTCATTGCCATCCTCATCAAAGTGAATGCTCACCGATTTGAAGACGCGGCCAAATGATCTTCCCACCTCGTGAGGCAAAACATACGCTCGGAAAAAATGAGTCACCAGACACTTTATTAATGTCCGATTAGGATAGATATATTTTGGCTCCCTTAAAAAGTGCATGCACACGTTCATGTGGTGGGAAAAGTAAAACAAGTTAAATCGCTTCAGCAGACAGACAAAGTGTTTATTCATGAGAAAGGACAGGGGAACGGAAAGGTACACTTCTCCCTTCTTCCTCTTGGTACTAACTTCCCCTGGTGTGACGGACACATTGATGGGATTACCGGGGGTCTTCTCTTCCAGGTTCTGATTACATATGAGAGCCTCCCACAGGAATTGCACGTAGTGGCGGTACACATAGTTCCCACCAAAGTTGTCACAATAGATGTAGAACCCCAAATCGATGTCATCACAGGAGGGAGGGAGAAAGAGGTCCACTCGATCAAAGGCGCAGACTAAGACGTAGAGCAACCCAGCTGTGAAAAACGTCATGGCGGTGCTCAAATGGACAATCAGGCTGCCCCCCTTCTGCAGGTAATTGAAGCATATAATCAAGCTGGACACAAAATAGCTCTTCGTTTTTATTTCCTTCTCAACCACATGTACATAGTTCTGAAAAAGCTGCGTGTTGAGATCAATGAATACGAAAGAGCATACGTTTTTGTTTCCGAGCTTGTGTTTCAACATCTCACTGAAGTGTTTGTAAGGGGTTTTCCTTTGGTACAGCTGCTGCACGTTTAGGAGGGAGGCGTCGTCTCTGGGCTCTGAGGGGGGGAAGGGTAGAGAAGTAGCGATGTGTACTGAAGTAGCAACGTAGCGACGAGGAGCGCCGGACTAAATCGCGCCGAACTAAAGGGCTCCAAAAGGAATTAGCTGCAGAATGGGCACAGCGAGGACTCACCTGCACTGGGGCTACCGCTTGAACCGTCACCTACGCTTCGGCTTCCGCTGCCGCTTGCGCTTCCGCCAGCGGCGAATTGACTGACCCATCCCTGCAGCAGGATGCGACAACCAGTCCCGAACTTAGAGAAAAAGGAGAAGACGCCGGTTGAGGCATCCCCACTGATCACTAGAAAGCTGCGGAGTAATGACGAGTCCTTCGTCAGATCGACGTGGGCGCAATTCCTCAACACAAAGAGGCAGTCAATGACGCTGCAGCAGAGCTCCTGTCCGTCCATCACGTACGATGAGCACACAGGTTCGTACCGCTTCAGAATCTGTTTTAAGCTATTCACGCCCCTGTCGCATCCGTTGTAGTAGATGTGCTTCCTGAAGAGTAATATATCTTTGTAGAGTTCCTTCTCCAAATAAAAGGGATTGTCAAAATGGCAAGCTTCCTTCTGGAGGTAACATCTGAACCAGTTTTTGTTGGTGAAGTAGGCTTGCTTCTTTAGGAGCCCCTCGAATTCCGTTTCATGCTTTTCCAGGAGAGTTTTATCCACTGAGAAGACTCGCTTTCGGATTAGGTCTTCGTCCAGCTGGAAGAGGGCACGGGCTGTACCATCAACACGGTCGATTCTGTTACCTCTCCGCTTCCGCGATAAGGTTTTATCACCCTTAAAGTCTATTCTTCTCAGAAGCGCTGTGATCTGTTTGCGATACTTGTGTATGTTCTCTACATGGTTGGGGAAGAGGTCATTGGTTAATTGGCTACGTATCTCGTTCGATTCCCCCGTACGTTCGAAGAAGATGCCGCTTTTTCTTCCTGCCTGTGGGGGGAGTCGTAAGCTTCTCCTCAGTTTTTGTAACTCCTTCTTTGAAAATGGCGCCCCTGAGTAGGGGAGATGTCTGAAGCGGCTTGTCTTGTCCCCCTCACGCTGTACATCCCCCCTGTCCATATCATCCATATCATGCAGCTGATCTGCACGGTTCGACTGCTCTCCCGCCTCTGCCTCCTCTGCGTGGCATACCCGGGGGATGATTCTCCCCTGGTCGAAGTACAAATCGTCCAGAAGTCTAAACAGCAGCTTGTCCTTCTTCCTGATATCCACAAGTCGGTGCTCCTCAAAGAACTGCGAAAGGTACATCCTCTTAGTATTCTCGATGTTCTTCTTCATCAAATTCGTGTTTGATACATTTATGCATTTTTTGAGATAATAAATTAGGTAGTCTACAAAATGATGGATGCACTTTTGGTATTCTCTGAAAAAGCTTTTCTTGATCCACTTCCTCGGGATGATACTTCTCCGGCTGAAGCTTCCTCCCTCTTTCACTCCACCGGTAGGGGCGTCTGAAATGGTTGCCCCATGTGTGGTTTGCGGCCCTTGCGTGGTTAGCGGGTCTTCTGTACCATTCGTACCTTTCGTACCTTCCGTGCCTACGGCGCCTAGCTGATTGCCCTCGCCCACCATAGCAGCGATTTCCCTCTGTGCCCCCTGAACCCAATTATTCAAGCTAGACAAAAAAATAGATGTGATCCCATTGAAGTGGACTCCTACTAGGAAGACCACATTGCGTAGGTGACAGCATGACGGTCTGTACACCTCCAGCTTCTTGAAACATATGGCTAGGATGGAGAAAATAGACAGGAGAAAATTGTCGAAGGATAATTTCATCTTCATGATGAAACAGCCCCCAATGTCTACCATGCCCAAGGAACAGACTAGCTGACTTATGCTCCTAATTCTTGCAGAGTGGTTGTTTCTTTCTAGCATCTGTTGGTTCGTCTCCTCCCTTTTGCAGTAGTCCATCACGTCATCTGTGCTTACACTATTTGCCGTTATCAGTTGGAACAGCTTCACCTTCTTGTTGCTCTCCCTCACCGTTTGGTTCCACACATGACTTATGTTTTCTGGATGGATAATGCTGCCCGAGTTGTTCAGCCCTGAAATCCACCTTTCATTTTCTTGCATGTAGAGATAGTAATACAGTGGGTGGAATTTTTTCCCTTTCTCCAATGTTAGCGGCGTCATTGTATCGTTCCAGGGGGTATCCTTCCCGGGGTTATCACTCCCGTCCGTTTGTCCTGCGGGGGTGGACCCAGATTGGCGCTTCCGCTTTGCATGCGCCACCTCAGACACACTCCCATAGCCACTGACACGGCTGCCATCGCCGCCATCACCAATTCCGGCGTGCCACTCCCCCCCAGGCGCGTACTCATCGAATGGGTTCACACTCATGCCCATCCAATTGTGAATCACATGGTGCAGCTTGTGAACCTTCATGTAGTAGTTTAGAGAGCTTATAAAATTGGCCTCTTCATCAAAATGAAAGCTGTTTAGAGTTATCGGTTCGCTGCTTGGCTTGGTTTCGATGCAGCTCTCTACTATCTTCCTCTCCTTGAGCAGCTCGTAAAAATAGATCCAATCTTCGCATTCGATTTCATCGTTAATTTTATTTCTCTTTATGTAAGACACTATGTCTTTGTCGTATTCGAATCGGTTCACCACATCTTTGTACTTGTCTACAATTTTGTCGCAGATTTCGTCGTAGTACTTTTTCCGCTCCTGCAGCTCGGGTAGCTCGGCTGCGTCTTCGCTGCGGGGGGAAAAGGAAGAAGGAGAGAAAAATGGACAGCGAAATGGGGGGGGAATGGACAGCAAAATGGGGGGAAAATGTGGGGCAAAATGGACAACATTAGGTGCAGCAAATGAAGAGCAACATGCTGCACCCACTTCAGAGAATCGACCAACTGTTCAGGTGGCATAACGCGCAAAAGCGCCACCTGGCGGGGGTGCCCCTTGGAATGCATGTACAGCACCGCTACAAAGCACCTCCGCATCCATCTCGTTACCCTACCTGCCCAGCTCCCTCCTGATGCTGTCGCACCTGCACACGCGCTTCCGCTTCACGCAGTAGTCGCAGCTGTTGTCTGATCTGGCGATGTCATCTCCAGCGAATATGTCGTTCAGGTTTGTCTCGAAGGTAAATGTGTGGTTCATGATTGGACGTGCACATGTGCGAAGTGGGAGTAGGTTCGCGCTCGCGGGAGCGCACCGGTTAGTGTTCACAAAAGAAAAATTGATTTTCCGTCACGGAAGAGAAACAGTCAGTGGTCACAACAAAACAATTGATTCTCCATCACAGGGGAGCAGCGGTCAGTGGTCACGACGAAACAAGTGATTCTCCGTCACGAGAGAACCCCGATTCTCGACCACGGAGGAGCAACAAAATTGCCGCCAACGGAACAGCTGGTTCATTGTCCTGGCTTCCTTCCACTAACGATCAGACGCGACAACGCGTGAGGTCTCCGTCGGTTATTCGTCGTTCTCGTTCCAAAGGAAGAAAAAGGAAAAATGGGGGGAGAGCTACTCCGGGTGTGCCAATCTTCCGTTTGCATATGCCTGACCATACGGCGTTGCGGTGTGTTTTGGGAATATATACCTACGTACATACGTCAAAGTACACTTGTGGTGGTTTTCTCCTGGTGGAACAGACCTACGCCGACTTACGAATCTAGTCTACTAGATTTTTTCGCCCTAACCCATTTGTGCATTCCCTGAACGGTTCACAAACAGAGTTCCATAACCACGCGTTATGCCTCGCTTCTTCTGCACTGGGAAATTGGGGAATTTCCGTTCCGCGTCATTTTCCCTCCTTCTCTGGTCTATCGCGTATGAGGGGCCACGGCTGGGAAGCGGCATGCGCATAGCGTGTACGTGGAACGTATATACGCCTCTACGTGGCGTCACATAGCCTATACGAAGGTGCTCAGCGGAGCCCGACAGATGGTAGTCATCCTCTGCTGCGGCGGCCTTCCTAACGGGGCATGCCACTCGTTCTCCGCTTTGAAAATGGCGTTTGGGGATTTCCTAGCCGAGTTGCTTACTCTACACGGAAGTGCACGTCCGTGTATACGACTGTTTGTACGAATGTACCTACTATTATTTTCTCCTTTTTTTTCCCCCTTTTTTTTCTTTCTCCTTTTTCTTTCTCCTTTTTTTTCTCTTTCTTTTTTCCCCTTTTTTTTTCCCTCCTTTTCTTTTTCTTTTTCCCTCGCATGTTGCCCCGAGCGAAGCTGAATGAGTTTGAGGGGCACATACCCTAGAGCGGTCCCGGAACTTTTACTCCGAAACGGAGCTGTTCTACATCTGTACACTCTATGTCAATGGCTATAATCTAGAAGGCGTGGAAATATTTTTTTCTCCCTCTTCTGGTCTACGGGCAAGTAGCGTAAAGCACAGGTTTGTTGTGAAGGGAAACGGGTTACATACATGAGGGTAAAAGTGTATCTGTACCGACTGCCTCTCATCTGGAAACTTCACACTTTTGCTACACTAGGGGGGGTATATTGATCATGTTCAGTTTTGGTGAGTTACCACCCCTTTACGTGCTGCACCTATTTGGGCATACATATCTCCGCATTTCAAACGAAAAGGACTCTCAACAATTATGTTGCCGCCATGGTTAGAACGCGTCATTCTTTTTCTACACTTTTCTCTACCGCTTGGTGTTCTCTTTCGGTCAGATGGAACTGAAGCGTTTCTTCGGAAAACAGGCGCCTCCCATAGGTTGCAATAATGGACAGGCTATACGTAACTCCCTTTGGCTCGCATTCTCCTACCTCCATCCCGCTCCTCTTGGTGTATTCCCCATTTTTATCTCACCAAAAGTGATTTTAGAACTTTAAGGGGCTACCTCCATTGGGGGTTATCATTTTCCCCATTTTTGCACACACGTTGGTGCAGGTTATTTTTTTCCCCCTTTTTGTGCATGCAGGATACGTGGAGATGTAGCGGGTTTAGAGAAGTTTACGATAAGAAGGGGCATCCTCGTCGGGTCAAGCCATCTTTGCGCAGTCCTGTGTCATTTGAGCGAAATGGAGAACTGTAGAATAAAAGGGGTGAATCAAATTCCTACCTTTTGTTGAATGCTCCCTTGGAGGAAGTGCAAAACTTCAGGAATCATACTTTGCCATTTGCCTATTCCCGTGTGTATCTTCACATATGTGGAGAAACAGGTCTCCCCTTCTTCTACATCGAGCCGCATACCAACCGTTTCGTTATTGTAGCTTCTACAGAAGGTTAATCAGGCTCTGTGTAAGCGCCGCATATGCTCGCGTGGCCAAAGGTTCATGGGCGAGTTCCGAAATGTGCAAAACGTTAAGGGGTTGTGGAGTGATGGTGCCACGTGGGCAAGTCTCAGGGAAAACAAGGCACCCCTTGGGTAACGTTGTAAAATGAGAAATTCCATATACAGTGTATTGGCGACGAAGAGGCCAATTCAGCCAAACGAACGAGCAGAAGGGGAAACAAAAGGAAGCATAAATTGTTTGGGGTGTAGGCGGAAAATCGCACGAAAGGTAGGTAGCGAAAGTGAGGTAGCTACAACGTTTTTTTCTTTTTATCCACATAAAAGACCCCCAAAAAAAAAAAAAAAAGAAAAAAAAAAACTGTTCATGCAAAAATGTGCCAAAGGAGAAATATACATGTGTGTGTTTTTTTTTTTTTTTTCCAAAAAGTATGAACATTATGGCTAGATACATTCCCGTCGGTTAAATACTTTCTGAACAGTGCATAAATTTTTTCTACATGACCCTTAAGAGTGAAAGCGCCAGCTGATGTGCTCGGTAAACGATGAACGCACATCGAAATGCTCATCAAAGTGACCAGTGTAGTAACTCATAAACTGAACAAATTGAAGTATACGTCGGAGGGACACACTTAAAGGTGATTTCCGTTGCAGAAATGTGCGAAAGGAAGCGCGTCAATTCTGGGAAGAAACGTACGAAATAGTGTTAATCAATTTTTCCGTATTTCTCTGGCTTCCTTCTGTTGTGCATTGCGCGATGCTTGGGCGTTACGCACACGTTAACCACGTTTGACGACAGCACACGGCGCTTAAGCAGTTCGGGAATGGGGTATTTAAACGTACGTGCGTTCGTGCATACTGGTAAATGTCCTGCCGTTCGTGTGTACCCGTAAATGTGCGCGTTTAACTATTTCTGTTTGGGCGTACACGCCTTGGCGCGAACGTGCTTAGTACCTCACATAGATATATACATTACATTTGACCGCTCGTTGGCGAGGCCCATTCTCCTCCCACCCCCTCTGTCTTAACCATTTATTTTTTTTCTTTGAAAAGCGTCGTTGTGCAGAATTAGAGCCTTCGCCGCTTCGCCATCAGATGGTGTTCGTCATGATCGTTTTTTTTTTCCCATACGTGTACAAGTGCTCACCACAAAGGAACAAAAAAAAAGAAAAAAAAATTGTATTTATATAAGTATATATGAGAAAAAGGAAAAAACAGATGTGGCATCACTCCACTGAGTTTTTTTTTTGTTTTCTTTCACATACCGAAAATCGCCCCGTTCAGAAGTGTAGAAAATTCCAAAGTGCGATAATGCGAAAGGAAGTGTACAGCAGCAGTGCAGCTTCGGTTGGAAAGGGTATCCTGGGGAAACGGCAAGTTCTTCACGCTTTTACGCGGTGACCATTTTTTTTTTTTTAAATGTAGAATTTTTCGTCAGCCGATTTTACTTACTGACAAGCCCGCATAAACCATCCTGCAATTATTTCGCCTCTCTTAACTGTGTTTTGTTTTTTCCCCAGTTCCGCGTGTCACCGTGCGCGCGAACACATGGTACGTATTTTCCCTTTTAATTGTGTACACATGTTGGCATTTGCAGCTCCATATGCAGTGTTTACATGAGCATATGCATCCCGGCGACTACGGGGTGGACGTGTAAACTGCCTAAAGTGGGTACGAGAGCTGGAGGGGCGTCCACCAAAAAATTGCCACAGTTTTGTCGTAGCTTTGGCGTACTTTTGCGGCAGCTTAGCGACGGTTTCCGTGTAGTTAAGCATACCCTTCCCCCTGTGCAGTCCGCAACTTTGCGCGTGCACTGTACTCCTTTTTTCTTCACCCGCGCCTCTGGAAGCTAAACTGCTTCTCGTGTGACATGTCCAACAAATTCTAGGTGTACATTGTGAATAAATATTTTACCGCTGGTCGCATGTGACGAATTGCTTACTCTATAAAAAAAAAAAAAAATCCTCAACGTTCATTTTGTGTATAACCATACCGCATGTTCTCCCCCTTTTTTTTTTTTCTTTTTTTTTTCTTTCATCAAAAGGCGCTTTAGCGTAAGCTTGGGGTTATATGTTCCTTCAGCACAGTACTTCTGTGCAGTGCTCCGCAGAACTTCCGTGTAGTACCCCCCACATGTAGCGCCTCCCCCATTTTGAATTTCCAACACTTTGGCTGGGCTCCATTTTATCAATTGCTCTTTTGTTCACCTGTTTCTCACGTGTTCCTCAGGAAAAGTGTAGGAACTCGCGCGCCAAATGCATAGCAGCACGCACGAATGTTCCGTGTACATAAATGGGCGCATACCCACTTGCATACGTATGCCCGACCTTGTGCTTTTATATGTAGGCAAGTTTGTAGAACGCAGTTTATTCGTAAGAGTGCCTCCGTCTCACCGCAACGAAGTGAAGAAAAAAAAAATTGTTACCTTGTGTAATTGTTTCGGTTAAGGATAATTCAGTAGATTGTTTTTTTCTTTTTTTCTCTTTTTTTATTTTATTTTTTTTTTTCTCCCTTTTTTGCATCCTCATCAAGGGGGGTAAAAGCCAGCGCTTACGCATTTGTATGCTTGTGTGCATGCCCATGTTTATCCGAACAACAGTGGGAAAATTAAAAGGCCCCCTTCCCCCTGCAGGGATACATACACATGTGTGTCGCGAGCCACTGCGCACGTGCATGTTGCATCTACACTTTCCGGTAAGCGTACCTGCGGGTGAGGGAGAATTCACCGAAACGTGGCCGACCGTTTGTGGGGTTGTTTCCCTTCTGCAGGCGCGTGGCAAAGCAGTTGTCTTTCTGGGAAGCGGCAGGAACGTAGAAGAGGGTGTGCCATCTGCTCAAATCGGAAGGGCCTCCTTGCATGACCTCCCCCCAAACGCATAGATACACATAGCGACACACACACAGACCTACCTAGCCGCCCTACCACCAACCATGCATCCCCCCGAAGAGAAGCACAGAGATAAGGAGGAGCCGGGCGCCCTACCCTACATCCCCCACGCAGAAAACTACGTCAAAGTGAACAAGTCAAAGTATAACAGGAGCGGAAATTACCATCATAAGCAGGCAAGGGAAAATCAGATCACTTCGAATGCTTACGTAAGCTATAATAATTACTCCTACATGGGTAACAATACCAGTGGGAATTACAACCCAGGGAAGATACATCACCACCAGACAGCCAATGGGAGGTATCACAAAATGGGTTACAACGAAGGGAGTGGCCACTACCTACCCAGGGGTAGAACTTATCGGAGCAACAACGGGGGAGTCAGTAACTCCGTAGGCACCGGTATATGTGAGGAAGAGATAATCGTGCACCAACAGTATAACAAACGAAACGGAGGAAATCGCTACCATGACAGTGTTGCACCCAGCGCGAATGGATTCAAAACGGTGCCAGATGATCCATTGGGGAGAAGTCCTAACGGGGTGCCAGAATCAAACGGAGCGGCCGAGAAAGAGTCCGATGTAGAAGGAATGCATAAGAACATCTACCCAAATGGAAAAGGCCAAAATTGGATTCGCAAAACGAACAACCGAATGGGGAGAGGTTATCCGGCAAGGGGGCAAGCAACATTAAGCGAAAGTGGTCCTCAGAATGGTCCTCGAAGTGGTCCTCAAATTGGCCATCAAAATGGCCAACAAAGTGCCCATCAAAGTGACGAACAAAGCGGCACCCCAAACGAAGCCGAAGTCAAAATGAAAAGCGAAATTGACAGCCAACAGGAGAACCACCACATTATGGAGATGAACAATGACAAGGAAAACCCAAATGGCTTTTCCACCAAGGGGAGAAGAAAAAACAACGGTAAGTACATGAACGCATATAAGAGCGGCGCCAATTACGTCCCTAGCTCCGTGAGCAATCGATCCTCAAACTACTTCGGCGGGGGAATATCCAATCACGGACAAAGCAGAGGCTACGGCCAAATTAACGGCTATGGGTACAAGCAGAATTACCACCAGGTGTACAACCAAAATTACAGCCAAGGGTACAACCAGGGCTACAACCAGAATTACAACCACACCAACGACAACAAGTACAACAACTACAATAACAATCACAACCACAACGGATACAATAACAACGGCTACAATCACAGCGGATACCATCACAACAGCTACCATCACAACTACAGCAGATACAGCAGCTACAACCAGGGGGGCAGCCAAAGTACTGACCGCGAGGCCAGGGCAGCTGCCAAGCTCAGCACCGGTGGAGAAGACCCACTCGGTGAATGCGCCCAAGTCTGCGTAGTGCAGAAGGAAAGCCCTCCAGATGGAGGCGTATCTAAGAGCGATAATTGCGTCGGGGTTAACTCTCCAAGCAACCAATTGGGAGCCACAGCGAAGACGGATGTAGCCCAAGGAGACAACCATATCAAAGGAGGAAGCTGCAACGAAAGGAATGGCACGTATGCTAAACCTTCCGATGTAGAAGTGGGCACAGAAGAATGCTTGAAGGTAGAAAAGGATGCAAATAAGCAGAGCAACAATTGTGATAGGAACAAGAACATCTACGATGGAAGCTGCAACAGTGAGGAGAACCCACATGGCAATCATCAAGTCAGCAGAGGTGGCCACCTGTGCGGCAATGATACAGTTTCGAACTTAGGCGATGTAGTAAAACATGTTAAACATGACAAGTGTGATGTTGTGGAGGTACTTAGGAAGGACCACTGTAGCAGTAAAGAAAGTCTGCATAGCGATGGAAGAAACAATGTAATGGGAGGCTCTCCTTATGTGCAGGCAAATAATGGAGTGACCGCAACCTCCCCCAAGGGGAACTACTCACCAATCTCGTTTAGTAAGAACGGTGCAAGTAGGAAGAAGGCGTTAAACAGAAGCTCCCCCCCTGTGTACAGCTCCAACTATGAAATTAACATCCATGGGAGTTTCTGGAGAGGGAAGAATATCGTATCCAATGGCAATATCGGTGGAGCTCGTTCGGATGACCCGAATGGGAGGGATCCCCTTCCAGGAACCCCCCCAGCAACACATAAGGGTTACAAGCGTAGCGAGCGTGTAGAGGAAAGTACAAAATCCCTTGTTCATAATGACCTTGTGACGACCACCCAGAGGGACTACATACCGAACGTTACGCAATTGGAGAGGGGTCACTCGTTTGATGAGGATAGCACTGTGACAAAGGAGTATGACGTGTCAGGGAATGGAGAGCTCCAGGTGGGGAATCCTTGTGGTAGGACATTAAGGGAGGATGAAGCATGGGAGGCGTCTCCTGGGGGGGAGCTTCATCAAGAGGAGTTCCACATGGATGGCGTCTGTCGGGATGGGAAGACAACCATAGGGGAACAAGACACTTCGAAGAGGAACCTACCTATGGCTACTGTACCGAATGGGGTAGGAGAAGAAGCGCATGTATCGGGTGAAGCGAGGCAGTCCTTTGATCATGCAGAGACAAGTCATGGTGGCGACCGAGCTGGGAACCATTTCCCAAGACGCCTTTTAAGCCGTATCGCGAATTATGAGGGTGGAAGAACCGACACAGTTGCAGGGGGGTACCTCTCAGGGGGGGGAGACTACAACGAAGTCAATGGGAGTTGTAACCAAGTGAGTGGCAATCACACTCAGTGCGGGGGTGACTACTACTCCAGCGCGTGTAGTCAAAAGGTAGGTAGTCAAAACGCAGGTAGCTGCAACGTAACGAATGGCAGTCACAACCCGGGTGCAGCGCCCCCTTCCCATGAGGCGCAGGAACCTCCAGAAATGCACAGAAGCGGGGCATATAAAAAGCAAAACAACGTGTTTCCCCCAAACGCGCTTAAGAGACATGGGAGGAATTCGAAAGCAGGCAAATCTCAATTCCCAAGCATGCATGAATGTTTCTTCTCTACAAATAAACGGAAAGGGGGGTCTACTCAGAGGAGTGAACCCGTTGAAGAGGTGGACGAAGCGGGTAGGCAGTTCATTCTGGGCGAATCAGTGTATGGCATGAAAAATGAGGGGACAGTCTTTGTAGGAGATTGCAGTTACACAGATGGGTCTCCATTTTGTGCTAAAGGCAAGATATTGTCAAGAGAAGGTGCAGTGGAAAGTTCCACTTACGACGCGGGTGAGGTGCATTCTGGAGACGGCAAGCCTAAATATAACAGGAAGGAGGAGATCTCCTCCACGACGGACAGCACAACGATGAACTGCTACAGAGTTGAATTGAAGACGCTCAAGGAGGAGGTTCAAATCGGTGACAGCAGTTGGACTCCCGATAAGGGTTCCCTTTTGGTGAAGCCTAACCTAACCCAGGTTAGAGACAATGAGCATCTCAAATTGATCATGCCGGTGAATGCATGGAAGAAAGAACCCATCCTAAGGAAGCAAAAAAAGGGAACCAATGCGGAGAAATTTAAGCGACCGATCATGAGCAGAGATGCCGGGGTGACCAGAAAGGAGAGAGGAGGGATTGGCGGCTTGGTCAAGGAGGACCACACCATGGATCATAGCGATAACGACCATGACAAGCAGCATGATGAGCAGCATGAGCAGAAGCACGCCGTCCAACAGAGATTCGATCGGGCCAACGCACCAACTGCCCCTCCAAAGCACCGTAGGTCTAGATCGGAAAATATCCATTGCTACCAAAATAATGAATTCAAAAATTTAGAAGTGGCAATGATGAAGCCCCACATGGACACCTTCAAGCGGACGGTGAATGTCAAGGGGGTGAGGACCATCCTAGAAAAGGTCTTAATTAGCTACATCGATGGGGATGTGGTGGAGAGGGGAGTGTCCAGGACCTTGGGCGCACCCAGTGCGCGAATGAAGGAGCATCAGAAGGGCAAGGTCCAGTGCACACTTGCTGAAGCAGCATCTGTTTGCAGTTACGTGGAGAGGGGCAAATGGATCAGCTCAGTCAACAGAACGGAGTGCTTTTCAGAAAAAGAAACGACAGTCAGGCAGATCGGTGCAGTTAAGACGGACACTAGTGAAAAAGACAAAGCGATTTATTTCCTCGGGGAGCATCTTAACTATGGTAGTAATGTGAAAACTCAGAACACCTTCCTTTGCTTACCAATCGAGAGGGCCCTCCTTCTGGAGGGGGACCCCAACACGGATGATGACGAAGCCGACAATGAGGAGGATGGGAACGATGCGGCAGAGGGCGATGCGGATCCGGAGCAGTGGGAAGACAAGCGGATCAATTGTAGGCCTGGAGAGGAACAAGGCTCCCCTCTTGAGGGAATGGTCAGAGGAGAGTTCCTGAGCAGGAGGGACTGTGTGGGTGCCGCCGATGCGTGCGGAGGGAGCAGCCGTGGAAGTGTTAATTGCGACAGAGGAAGCAACTACGGTGAACGCGGCCATTTCGGTGGGAGAGGTCACCACGGAGGGAGAGGTCACTACCGAGGGGGTGGCAACTACAGAGGAAGAGGAAACTACGGACGGGGCGGTCACTACGGGAGGCGTGGCAACTACCACCGAGGTGATGTGCACAACAAAGTAGTCAGCCGCGACAACATGTTGAAGTTTTTTCCCCAGGAAACCACTCCCCCACAGAGGAACCTCACAAATGGAAATACCACCGGCGGCTACTCCAAGAATGAGGTAATGCAGGACAGGAGGTATGGCGAAAGGGGTGTAATTCAAAATGATTTTATGTTAAGTGGAGTATCAGCCACAGGCACGGGTACCACAACGACGGCGACGATAGAGTCGATGGCGACGATGGACAGGAATGCTTCAAACTATGCGCAGTCCAAGGTGCAAGTCAACAGTAGTACCGGCAGAATGGCTAGTCATCAGATCGGCCACAAGGGCTTCTTCGCCGAGCTCCCCGAGCGGCGCAGGAGAAACGTCAACACGTCGGATTACTGCTACATGAGCGGTCAGAACGACTCCTCCACGGAGAACTACCCCCAAGGGTGCAGCGTCGGGAGTACCGATCAGAGCGGAGTCCAAAATAACAGCTACACTGCCAACCAAGGAAGTAGCGAACTTGCGGGTGAAGCCCAGAATTACAGTTTCTATGCGAATCGCTTCGAAGGTGGTGAGCATCCAAAAGGAGAGGACCCCATAGGTGGTGGGGCTCCTGTGGACAGCATGAAAGGGATGAGAAGCGTGAACGGGGTAAACCGCGCAGAGGGAAAAAGCATGCGCGATTTTAACGGAGGTGCATTTAACGAGGGGTACGGACGCCACAACCAGAGTCACATGAACGACTTTACCCAGAGGAGGCAGCAGAGAAACGGAACCGCCAATCATTACGGAGTGGGAGGGCAGCAATGGAGCAACCAAACCACGAACAACACAGGGAACAATAGGAACCATTTTAACAGTTACGTGAACAGAAACGGGACCATGCGAGATAGTCGGTTCCCCTCGCAGAGTAATGTCCCCACTGGGAACATTTTTCCTTATGCGGATGGGGGAAGCATGCCTCCCCATCACGGTGGAAGTGCCACGTTCAGCAGTGGCATTGCGGAGACCGGCTCCGGTTTCTATCCTAATGAGGGCGTACTGAACCCAGGGAACAACGGAGAGAGTGTCGATGGGGGGTATCATTACAACGGTGGCTGCGACACCACGTTTAAGTCAGCTGCCCCCGTTAGTGGTTGTAGAAAGGGTAGGAATGCACCGTACGTAGGTGGATACGCGGCTAACTGTGCAGTGAATTATGAGACTAATTGGTCCGCCGTCGCCGGCCCCAGTACATCGCCCCACTTTGCTGCGCCACCAATGAGTGTGCACAAAAGGATACAGGGAAAGAGGAACCACGTGAACGCAGACGGCTTCAACAACGTTCCAACATTCGATGAGCTCAAGTGTGAGGACAGCGAGGTGGCCATTAATGACGCATCGGAGAATACATCACCGTGTGGGATGGCAGGTAAGAGGTGGGCAAAAAATTATGCTCGTCACACTGGGATGCACTATGGGAATGACAGGAGGCAGAGAAGCAATGGAGGGGTTATGCAGTCCAGGAAGACACAGCCAAGTCAGCACGAAGAGAACGAGAAGCGCGAGGAGCATGAGCATACGATGTATAGCGGGAGGCAAGACGTAATTCAGAGGGATGATATCGACTCAGTGGGGGAAGCTGACCATGGAAGTCATCCTGATGGGCCTAGGAGCAAAAGTCAAAACAGGTGGATGAGAGGTGTGGAAGAAGTCTCCTACGGCAGGGACACAAGATCAGAAAAAGGAGAAAGGGAAGGCGACGTTGGAATGGATGTTATGCATGGTAAGAATGACCGTCGCGGAGAGGGAGAGCCCCACAGCGAAGAAGAAGAAAATGAAACGGGAGATAACGGGGAAAGCCTATTCAAGAGGAAGAATCGGCTTCAGCTTCCGCACGGAGATCGAGAAGGTATACTTGGGAAAGCCATGCGAAAAAAAACAGATGGTCTGCGTAAAGGTGATTTATTAGTCGGTACACCTCCCTGTGATGATGTGCTGGCAATAGATCCGGCGAAGGAAAGGAAGTGCGTGGAAATGGTTAGGGGAAACGGAACAGAAGGAATGCCTCCATCCCATTTTGAGGTGGTCCTTGGTGGGGAAAACAGCGCCTTCAAAGGGGAAGCGAAGCAGAGCCAGAGAAAAGACAATATAAAGTCAAACCGCTTAACCAGCAGCCGAATGGGATCGAGCCACACGAAAGTGGGACATGCTAACTCCTCGCCACGTGAGCAAGTAGCGAGTAAGATGAGATCGCCAAAGCAAGGGGGTAACAAGACCGAAAGGAAAAGGGAGAGGGCATGTAACGAGTATACACCATACGAAGGTTATATTCGGGGCACGAACGACGTTTCAAACATAGAACCCGTTTTTTGCACCTTCGAAGGAGAGAATGCAGATGATTATAATGACCCTACGGAGGAAGTGAACCAATTCGACCACACCGCACGGGACTACGAGGTGTGTGCGACTGACCAACAGCAACTAATCCTTGGAGACAATCCGCACGGCAGTGCTGATGTGTATACCCAAGAGACGAGCTCCTTCTTAGGAGATGGCAGAAGCGAGCCAAACGAGAATACCAACAAGGGGAGTTACCGACGGAAAAATAAAAACAAAAAAAGCACGTACGAGAAAGGTGCGAATGACACAGGTGCATACAATAACAGGGGAGGCAGCAGATCGGCAAAGGGAAAAAAGAAGTGACGTTGCGTGAAGGAGGTGCGAGAGGGGGACTACAGCGAAGCTTCCCACTTTAACATGCGAACGGAGAAGGAGCACATCTAAGAAGTACAGCACGATGAGAGGTTCTCACCGCAGAGGCATATCCCCCACCGGGTTGATGATGCAGTGAGCTTTATATAGTGTGCGTATATTTCTATTTTGCCCCGCATGAGGAATCGCCCAGGGACCCATTTTGAACCACGCTGCCTTTTCACACTTATTATTCTTCTGGCGACGTGTCTCTCTCCATTTAAAGCGATTAATCAATTGCACTATTCGTGCGTGATGCATGCGGAGTGGTCGCTAGCATTTTTTTCTTCTTCTTCCCCCACCCCGTGTATGCAAAGTGAACTCTACGACTTAAGGCGAAACATTAACTTATCCAGTTCATTAGTTCGATAAAGAAGTGTTTTCCTTTCATTGAAGCGGCCAGAGGGGACAGTTGGTATATGTCCTCACGAAGACGTAGTTTTCCCTCCACGGGACAGACGTCCCTAAACTCTGCCAATTGACATTCCAAGGAGAATTCTCCTTCACGCGGTGGTAAAAATGATATTGGCAAATATAAGTAGGCTACTCAAATGCGTTAGTGAAAGAAAAAAAAAAAAAAAAAAAAAAAAAACGGGTTGGCCGTTCGCAGGGTTACAAGGCAGATTAGGAGGCAGGATTAGACGTGTGTCTGACCCGCATCCCAGCCCCTGCTGCACAGTGCATACAGTATGTACGTTACCCCATGTATACCTGTGTGTGTATACATATCTGCGCTTGGGTGTGCACCCATTTAGCGCTGTCTCGCCCCCCAACGCTAAGTATTCTTAGGTCTGCGGAAGAAGAGCACATTGTTTTGGTTCTTCAGGTAGCCAAAGTGGTTCCACCCCGTGCTCATGGGGATGCGTAGGTAGTACTTCACGTCGAGCTCGTGGAGAAAGGGGAACTTCTCATTGGAGAAGCCGTCATAGTAATCATTTCTATCCTTCGAGTTGCCATTAACATTGAGCTTCTGATTGTCTAGGATGGATTTTACCTTTTCTTCGAAGAGTCTACTCACTTCTATCGCTCTGTAGAGATAATGTTCGTCCTCCGTTTTGATGAGGTAGACGACGGGTCCTAGTTGGGCTGCATACTGCACGTTAAATAGCTGGTGCGACAGGAGGAAGCTTTCGTTCAGAGAGAAAACGGGTTCTAGAATCTTCGAGAAGTCAGGTGCATCTAAGATCCTTTCAAAGAAGGAATCCTTTTCCCTCTTCATTTTATTCATCAGGCAAATTAATTTGTCTCTTTTCTCCCTGTCGGAAACGTCCTCATTATATTCGCCATCGGTAAAGGGTGCATTTCGAGTTGACAGGACGAGTCTTTCTTCAGGTTGATTTTTCTGATCAGATTGATCGTTCTGTTGAAGTACGATGCTGTGTTGGAGTACGTTGCTGTGTTGAAGTGCGTTGGCGTGTTCGCTCGGGTTGTCTCCACCACGTTGGTTCTTTTTTAATGGTGGTTCCCCTCGTAGTGCTGTCTCTTTTCCGGTAGCATCTTCCTCGTTGCCTTCCTCCCCGTCTTGAACTGCCTCTCCATTGGTTTCCTCCTGACCTCTGCTCATTACCACAGACATAGGCATAGCCATAGGAATAGGCCTGGCCATTTTATTTCTGTATTCCTGTGGAAGGTCCCCCTCCTCCTGTGGAAGGCCCTCCGACGTGTAGTAATACCTCTCGAGGAGCTTCACCTCCGCATGGTAGTACTCATCGGTGTCGTCTACCTCATCAAAAATGCCAACCGTCTTGAGGTTCATTAATTCGGTAAGATTAGGAAAAGGTACATCTAAGTACTTGTGTTGGGTTCTACACTTATTCCTGTATGTCTCATAATCCGCGTCGTCAATTACATTTTTTGCATGTCTATACAGGAACATGCGATCGATGTAGTGATACTTCATCTCCTTGTTCTTCGCATTCTCGATGATTTTGTTTAGCTTACTTTTGCTAATGTAATATTCGTCGTCCGCTTCTAGCAATTCGTCAATGAAGTTTAACTCTCCCTTCCGCTGTATGTTGGAGTAAATATCCTGGAAGAAAGCTCTGCTGAAGAGGTACTCGGCATCGTTCTTCAGCACTGAGTCGTCTTCTTCGTTCGGCTTCATCGGCTCCACGTTTTCTGCGGGAAGGTGTAGGAAGGAGTAGGAAGCATGTGGGGGAGAAGTAGGGTGTGTTAGCAGACGGAGTAAGATGTATGGGCGAAGGAAGTAAGATGTATGGGCGAAGGAAGTAAGGTGTGTTAGCGGACGGAGTAAGATGTATGGGCGAACGAAGTAAGATGTATGGGCGAACGAAGTAAGATGTATGGGCGAACGAAGTAAGATGTATGGGCGAACGAAGTAAGATGTATGGGCGGACGAAGTAAGATGTATGGGCGGACGAAGATGTGTTCGGAGACGAATTACGATGTATGGGCTGCCTCGCCTCGCCCTGTTCAATGCAGTTACCCTTTCGCTTTATATCTCCATTTTCAAACTGCTCCGCGTTCTTAAAGAAGCAAGTGTGGAAGAGGGGGTTGTCGGAGTTCTTCTCAGAGCAGCAGTCCTTCTGCCGGGAATTTCGTGAGGTCTCCAGACATCGACTACTGTTGTAACTTGGTGGGGGCGCTTCGCTCCTAAAGGAGTAGACGCTTGGTTCATTTGTGACGTCACTGTAGTAGAGTTCATTAAGAGACTTGCACCTGATGGCATCACTGTGTCTGCGCGTGCTTGTCTTGTGATTCTTTTCTCCATCCATATATTTATTTAAGTAATTGGAGTCGGAGTAATTGTATCTGTCTTGCTCCCTTAGAAACTGCGTGGTGTGTCTTCTCTTTAGTGGGTGACTGTCGATTATTTTTTTTCTTTCTTCGTCATCCTTCTCCACGGGATGGGGACGACGGCGTGTCCCGTTATCTGTCCCAGGGACATTCGCCTTATATAGGTCTATTTTTTTTCTGACCTCCGCGTCCGTGGAAATACGTAGTGCACCTTTTTTGGCATTGCCTGTCGGTGCAACTCCTTCTAAGTATAACTTATTCTCCAATTCACGTTCTAAGTTGAAGCTAGAAATTGTCGACTGAGAGTTCACATACAAGGGGAGGGTGTCTCTGAATGTATTCTGGCTATCTGCATTTTGGCTACTTACATTTTGGCTACTTACACTTTGGGTAGCTACATTTTGACTACTTACATTTTGGCTATCTACATTTGTGTTAATAAGGTATCCTTTTGAGTGTTCACTCTGGGTGGTGCTACTCAAGATATACGTTTCGTTTAGATTCCTTCTATGGTCTGTCATCTGTAGGTTCTGATTCTGCAGTGAATGGTTTGATTCTGTTACCTGTCCCGGATGAGCTAACCCCGCAGTGCTGCCTCGTCCGTCCAGCCTGTTAAGGTAGTATGCCTTACTCATCTTTAGGTAGTTTTTTTCATTGTGTTCATATATTTTGGATTTGTCCCTTTTCATCGTTTTGTTCACTATGGATCGGACGGCGGCACTCTTCTTAATGCTCTCATCGACGCTGCTTCTGAGTTGCGTTCTGCACTTAAGTGGGGTGAACTTTTTGTTTTGGTTGGACAGAGAGTAAGGAGAGGAATACTTCCTTCGCTTGGTGAAAGCATTGTTAAAGTTGTAGTTAAGGTAATCTATGTGGTTCCTTTGGTGTGCGTTTGGTTCATTGGCAACTGAGATGGTGCACCTCCTTTTTTTCGCCACCGGTTTGCAGTCGTCGCTTACTTTGGTGGGGGCGCTGTACCTCGAGCTGAATATCTTGTGGATGCTCAGGTTTATGTTGCACCCGATGTTGTCGGACGACATATTGGCTTGTGTCTCCGAGGGAAGCGTTATCGCGGCGATGCGGTATTGCGTTATCGTGCTGATGCAGTGGGCGATGTTGCGTTATCGTGGCGAAGGTGCCACGTGGGAGTGGTTCCCTCTTTGTTGCAGCTGATCGGAACAATCGCGGGCTAGTTCTGCCGTTCTTCACCGTCGTGTGCACAACGTGTTTGGCTCACTACATGCCCCCCCCCGATGGGGGTAACCTCACCCAAGGGGGAGCACACAAATGGTGCGAGAGAAACAATTTGGCCGGAGGGAACCCCTTGGGGAGTCTCCTTCATACGTGGTTGCGTGTGTGCGAGCTCGCGTGGGGGATTGCGCACGCAGGTATGCAAGTGTGTACGTGAAAGTGTGAGGCATAAGCGATTGTTCGTGCGTATGCTTGCACGCACACGAGTTGGCCTTTTCGCCTTTGCCTTTTTGCCTTCCCTGTATCACCTCCCGTTTCGCCCTGAACTGCGCATACGCCCTGGAGAGGCACGAATTCCAAAGGTACACGCTCCAACGAAGCAAAACTCTTTGCACTTCACACGCGTGGTTGGAACAGACGAGTGGAAAAGAAGCCAAAGGAGGGGGGGCGTGAAAAAAGAAAGAAAAAAAAAGAAATACAAATAAAGGAAAGCTCAAAAAATGGGCCAGCACAAAAAAAAATAAATAAAAAAAAACTTTCGTACAATTAAGAAACAAATGCAATATTATATTCACCCCTTTCGAGTAAAACTGTTCAGGCTTGGACGACATGGACGAGCGTACATACGGCGACATGACACCTATTTACTCCAATGCATTTCCACTTTTATGCATATGTACCGTCGCACAGGATTGTGCATTTGGTGCACCCTCACGGAAACGAAGTGCTGCCTGGACGACTCACCCGCAACACAAAAGGGTTACGCTTCTGTTCTTTCTGCAGCAGAGCGCATATTGCTAAATGCTACACTATGATGGCACACATTGTGGTGTGTTCCTTTTTTTTTCCCCCTTCTCTTTTCCTTCCAATTTGTTCACCAAAATGGTTGTAATTTTTGCGTCATGGCCACTTCTTCCAAGCGTGGTGTGAGTGCATGAGTGCGCCGAATGTGGGGGGGAATCGCATTCCCAGCGACTTCCGAGCAGTTGGATGTTTATGCAGGGTCATCTATTTTTTTTTTTTTTTTTAACATACCAAAATGGAAAAAAAGAAGAATAACAAGTGAGGACAAGAGGCAAGGGGGGAACTTCCCTTTTTTGTCGTGAGCACATGAGGAGAAGAAATTGAAAAGGCATTCGTTCCTCTTGCTCACGTGTGGTCAGTTGCTTCACACGTTCGTTGTTACCTTACCCCTTTTTATTCTTTCCGTGTACATGCATACTTGACCCATTCGGCACACTTGGAATAGTTGACCCATTTCTTACCTTTTTCTTTGCTCGACCAGTGGTCCATGTGGCCGCGCTGGCCCACTCTGCGAACATGCTCCGCTAGCGCAGGCGCTCGGAGCGGGGCGAAGTGGATGCCTCCTCGTGACAGGGAACTTTCGTGTGATAGGCACCCTCTCCACGTTCCTCCCTTGTGCCGCCTCCCCACCGGCGTGCGCAACAATGCGATCGCTTTTTAGAAAGCGAATGATGACCTTCTACACAGTTCATCCGCACGATGGGAGAGGTCAACACTTAAGTCCGTTGAAGTTCCCCGGCTCGGTCATATATGTACATGATGAGAATGTCCTTAAGTATGAAAAGAGCATAATGCAGTACATGGGTACGGACATCATCGGGTTTGATACAGAATTCGTTTTGGAGATAAGTGGAGACCGTTCCAACCATTTGGACAGCGGGAAGGTTCCCCCAAGAGGTCAACCACTGAGGGACGCCCTCCGTAGCGACGGGATGCAAAATAGCATTTCATCAGGCGCATCCCCACATAGAGTAGACCTAAGGAAGGAGACTAAATTGAAAGGGTTCACGGCGATGTCGACAGAAGGTAGTTTTTTAAAAAGAGTACACAGGAACAGGTCCCCACCATGCCGTGAGAAGAAAACGCTGTGCCTGATTCAGCTCAGCTCGAAAAATCTCTGCTTCGTTTTCAACATTAACAAACTGAAGGGGATGATCCCCATGTGTGTGAAGGAAATTATGGAGGATGAAAAAATAACGAAAGTGTGCCATGACATTCGAAATGACAGAGATATGTTCCAAGAGAAACATATTCAGATAAGGAACACTTTCGATTTATATGATTTTTGCATGCAGAGTTTTCTCTACCCTCCTTCATTACAATTCTTAGTTAAATTATTTCTTAAAAAAAATTTAGAAAAACATTTTCGAATGTCCAACTGGTTAAGTGATGACTTGAGGGAGGAGCAAATTCTGTATGCTGCTGCCGATGCGTATGCGTCGAGGGAGGTCTATATGGTTTTAAAGCAACTGGGAAAGGTGAATCAGTCGTGTGTGTTGAATCAGCCTTGTGTGCCGAGTGATCCGTGTGTGGCTTCAAATGGGAAGACTAATGTAACCTCCCCTGTGATGGATCCACATCTGATGAGTGCAATCCATAAGGAGGAAAACCCAAGTGACGCAAAAAGGCTTCATAGTGAGACCCCTCAAGAGAGAGAAAGTAAAAATGATGTCTTTTCAGCGGAGGCGCAGCAAAGTAGTAACACCCAAATAGTAGATGAGACGGAGAGGCGCACTGCTATAATGCACACCTCTGTCACGACGAATAAGCAGAATGACACTACGCTGGGGCGAAACTCCACGGGGATGGAAAAACAAACATATGCATTTTTTGGAAGACACCAGATAAGCACTATTCATGAGTTAAAAAATAAAATCCACGTGAAATGCGCACAATTGTGTAACATATCCTTTGTTGAAGAAATGGTTTTTGCAGGCAGTGGCTATAAAAACCGGATGTCCTTGCAGGACGTGGAGAGAGGCAGGTCCCTCATCGTGCTGCATTCGCAGGGCTTCGATGAGGAAGTCAGGTGCTGCCACGAAATATTGAGTTATATGGACAGCGCGGCGTAGGACTTGCACGAAACACGTTGCGGGGGTTGCAAGCTACGCGTTGGAGTTGCGCGTTTCGCATTGCCCCTAAGTGGCCAACTGAGGTCCCCGCGGGTGTCAAAGGTACAACTCACCATTTTCGCAACATTTCAGCTAGGTAGCCAGCTAGCTAGCTATTTTTTTTTTTCAAAATGTGCACATAACTGCTGCGAAAAAGGAAAAAAAACTGACATATTGAGGCGTCTTTTCTTTTTTCCTTTTTGTTTGTCTTTAAAATGTGAAATGTAATGTGCGCGTTGGTGATTAGCAGTCTGCGTGTGGGGGTTCCCCAGGGTGGACACAACGCGATGGTCCCTGGTGAATGGCCCGAATGGTGGACGGCCCGAATGGTAGATGGTCCAAATGGCGCACCTTCCCCCCGTCAGGCGAAGGAGAAGTGGCTCTTGTTCTTGGAGGGGTAAGACACGGAGTAGTTCAAAATGCAATCGTATATAAAGGTGGGGGTGACGAACAAGGGGAGCTTTCTCTTCTTTTTCTTCCTGTCCTGCAGCGAGTTATAAAAATGGACTGCATTCGGATCGTTGCAGTTGGCAACGACAATGTACTCGGCATCGAGGGGGTCTTTCACAATCTTCCCCTCGCCAAGAGTTATTAAAGCTTTACACAAAAATAGCGCATCGTAATAATTGGGCTGCTTCACACTCGCAATGTTGAATATATAAAAAAATTGTTTGCTGAAGAGTCTATCGTGAGCTAGCTTTTGTCTGGTGTTGAAATTTTTGTTCCTCACAATGAATTCATTTTCAGTGCAAATGCTGTTCCAGTAGACATCGGTGTATTCAGGCCACCTTTGATATTTTTTTAAAATGATATCAATTGCTTTTTCCTTTAGCATGTACACATCGCTAACGAGGCTACATAAGATTTTCGGATCATATAAATCCACGTGTTCTTTTTCATCTGGGACGATACAGAAACTTATCTTGTTCCATTCGTATATGTCACTTGGCATGTCGTAAATTTCGATTCCTTTTGTCCCTGCCCCATTTTTCGTTATTAGTCCCTTTGGGTCATACGTAAAATTTGGCGGCTTCAAATGTTTGAGTTTGTTCAGTTTATTGTATATGATATCTCTGTAGTAGTTGTTTGCCGCCCCGATAAGCTTTATTTTATTCACTTGTTCCCTTCCTTCGTAGTAACTTGCATCGACGTTGTGCGACAGCTCGTCTGAGTACGACGAGTCCGTGCTCTCGTAGCAAATGTTCAGTTTGCAATTTTGCTTTGTCTTCTCTATATCGCTATCTGGTATTATTTTCCTCTTTCTTTTTAACGAACCCATTTGTGTGGCACCCTTTTTGGAATTCTCTAAAGTCACGCTGGAGGCGCCTCCCCTGGGGTCTCCCTCCACCACCAGCTTCTGCTTAGCAAACTTGTAGCAGTCGTAGTAGGAGCAGAGTTTATAATCGAGCCCTTTGAGGACATTCGCATGGAACGTTTTGAAATTCGTTTTCTTCACTGTCCAAATGTTTTCCGTCTTGTCCCAGTGGAAGAGGTTAAGCTCCTTCATCTTTCGGACCACTTCCTCATTATACGGCACGATTTTTACTTGCACCGAGTCGCTCCTCACCGGGTTGTGCACGATTATGTGTTGCATGGCGAACATGCTGCTCCTCGCGACGTGTTCAACGAACCCGCGCTTGTCCCTGCGCGAGAAGAGGGCCGCGTCGTAATGGTTGGCGGGGTCGCCAAGATTGGCTGTCTGGTTTGCACTGGGGGTGGGTGGGCCCGCCTTCCTCGTCTCCCCCAGGTCTGTTTCACCCGGCGGTTTGTTTAGTGGTTCGTTGATTAGCTCTTTTAGCGATCTGTTTAGCAGTTGCTTGGCCGTCTCCCTCCCTGCCTCCTTCGCAGAGGCGAAGTGGCTAAACAGCTTGCAGACGTAGTAAAGAACCTTGTCGCTGACGGTGCCTCCCAGAAAAATGGTCAGCTTTGTCATCTCGTAAATGTAAAAGATGGGGATGTGCCAGACCTTCTTCTCACTCTCCCACTTGACATTTCGGCAGTGGACCTTAAAGTAGGAAGTAATCGTTTTGTTTTCGTTTGTGTACTTGAGCTTCAGCACGAGGTGTCCCTTCTTATCATCCAGCACGTTACTGCACGAAGCGCTGTTATAAAGGATATAGTTGTAAATGTTGCTGACCTCAATGTGTGTCCAGCTGCTCAGAAAGTCTGTCGTCGTCCTCCGTTCGTCAATTAAATTGTTTAAATAAAAATCGAAGTTGTTTCTTTCCTTTTCATCTATGTACACATCCAGGAATATATCATCTGGGAGGAACATTTTTTCAAGACTGATCAAATTTTTGTCAACATTATTCCCCTCGATCTTTTTGAAGTAATGCGTCCTGACAAATCCATTGTCCTCCTCCCCCTTGTGGTACTTGGCTAGCAGGGCTTTGTCGCGATGGCTCATTTGATCTGTTTGTGCGATAACTGAACCATTGGGGAGAAGGAAGGAGGTCACCACAGCAATACAAGTCCCTTCACTAAATCGGGCTGTATATTGGCATCTGCACTGGGATACTTCTCGTGGAAAAAAAAACAGTCTGGGGAGGGGAAACGATGTGTGGCCTGGCTCTTTTGCACGATTTCCTAAGGTTAAGCAGAGGGTACACGCTTCTGTAAGGTCACGCATAGGGTGCACGCTTCCGTGTCAGTGTGTGCAACAGGGTGAGCATACTTATATGTTAGTGTGTGCCGCAGGTTGACCACACTTGTGTGTTTCTTTTTTTTTTTAGTGAGACTGGTGAGCTCGATCGGTTGCCAGTTCTTCCCCAGCTGGCGACTT